GCTTCTTTTTATGCAGCCCAGGATATGGTTGGCTTTCTGGACTGCAAACACCCATTGCCAGCTCACTTCTAGTTTTTCATCTACCACTATCCCCAAGTCCATTCTCTTAATCCATTTTTTCCCTCAGTATGTACTGATACTGGTGATTGCCCTGACCCAGGTGCATCACCTTGCACTTGGCCTTGTTGAACTTCATGAGATTCACATAGGCCTACTCCTCAAGCCTGTTAAGGTCCCTCTGGATGGCATCTGTTCCCTCAAGAGTATCAGCTGCACCGCTCAGCTTGGTGTCATCCACAAACTTGCTGAGGGTGCACTCAATCCCACTGTCAATGTCATTAATAAAGGTATTGAACAGTACCGGTCCCAATACAGACCCCTGAGGGACACTGCTTGTCACTGATCTCCATTTGGACATTGAGCTGTTGACTGCAACTCTTTGGGCATGGCCATCCAGCCAATTCCTTATCCACCAATTAGTCCATCCATCAAATCCATCTTTCTCCAATTCAGAGACAAGGATGTTGTGTGGGACCATGTCAAAGGCCTTACAGAAGGCAAGGGAGATGACATCAGTTGCTCTTCCCTTATTCACAAATGCATATTAGTATCTGTTATGTCTCATCTTGGATGAATGCAGGCATTCTAATTTTTCACTATCAAAAAAGTCTCTCAGTCAACTCTGAGTGAGTTGAAGATCAGTGCATCCCCTTGAAAAGAAGATAAGAGGACAAAAAAAAAATCTTGTGATCTCGCAGTATACATTAAATATCAAAAGTGACAAGGTGGGACAGAGAAGGACCCTACAACATTTGGAAGAAGAGAGAGGTTTTTTGTTCTTGGCATTTCAACTGGTTTGCCAGAATTAGGTAATCTTGCAAAATAATTCCAGCCTGGAAGGTTTAATAAGCAGAGGAGTTGTTTTCTGTTGATACTTCTAACTATGGAGAAGAGTTATGGGAGATTGGTGGATCTTACTAACATATATACTTGACGGGAGGGTGTAAAGAAGACAGAGCCAGGCTATTTCCAGTGGTGCCCAGTGACAGGACCAGAGGCAGCGGGCACAAACTGAAACACAGGAGGTTCCCTCTGAACATCAGGAAACACTTTTTTACTGTTAGAGTGATGGAGTACTGGCACAGGCTGCCCAGGGAGGTTGCGAGGTCTCCATCCTTGGAGATATTCAAAAGCTGTCTGGACATGGTCCTGGGTAACCGTCTCTAAGTGGCTCTGTTTGAGCAAGGAGGTTGGACCAGATGACCTCCGGAAGCCCCTTCCAACCTCAACCATTCTGTGGTTCAGGTATATATAAAGGCTGGTTTACGGGTGAGGCATTTCATCCTATGCTCCTGTGTGGATAGAAGGAGATTATTTGATGAGCTGGAGAAAAGAATTGGAAGGTCAAGGTGAGAAGTACAAGGTAAGTTATTCACTAATACAGATTGGAGTGAGTGGGTGGCAGTTTGCAGTACAAGAAAAAGTCATTTTGGGCTAGCTCCTGCAAGAAGTGGGAAATCAGTGGTAAAGCTTTTGTACAGTTTTGTGGGTTGCATTTCTCTGTGCAGTCAGGTCAGAGAGGTGATGGCTGTGGTTTGCAAAGGTAGAAGTCTGGAAGGTAGAGTGTTGGGAAGAGATAATTCAAGCAGAGAAGAAGTCATACGTTAAAGTTTCAGAACTGATCCTTTCAAGGTGATGCAGTATGGAGTCATGATTGTTTAGTTATTGGCAGGCAGGGGACAGGTGCAGGAGAAAGATAATTCATGTTCAAGATACCCCATTTATGGACAGTGAAGTCATTCTGAACGCTTAAATTGTTGAAATCAATGGAGAAACTGGAATTCAGTCTTAATGAAAAATAATGGATCGTAGCAAAATAATTCTGTTATTGCATGGTCAGATATGATTTTTTTATAAGCTCTCTGTGTGCTGATAGTCTGCACAAAGCCCACTGTAATTGTTTTCATATGTTAAATTCATATGGACTTGGCCTGCTTAAACAGTCAATTTATCATATTAAATTCTCTGGTAGAATCTCTGCCTTTACCATGAAGTTCATTAATTTTTCTTGCAGTCTGGCAAAAACCCAGTTGGCTCTTGAAGACACAAAGACCAAATCAGCCACTACTCTTTTGGCAGCAGAAGATGAAATTGTTGAGCTAAAAGCAGCGTAAGACAAATTGAATCTTGGGGTATTTGTGGCAGAAAGTCAGCATGCAGAAACACAGTCTGTCATTTACCTGAGTGGGTTCTGTTTATTCTACACTGTCCTATGCTATAGCAAAAAATAGGTCTAGCTTCTTAACACCCTGTAGCTTTGTTTCTTGGTGTTATAAAGAGAGGATTAGCATAAGTAGATCCATGTGAGAAGAACCCTTATGGCTGAACTTCTATCCTTTTTTCTTTAGGATAGAGGAAGGATGACTTTGAAACTAGCAGCTTGATAGCATTTGAATCTTGTAGATGAAGTTAAATAGGAGAGAACCATATTCTGAATATAGCCAGAAACCACTGTTTGCAATTTCCTATGATGCTCTTGGAAGTAGCGTGTGTGTAAATAAAAGACACTTCAGTCTGTCTATCTTAAGATAAAGTTCTTTATACAGCTTTTTCTTGTAGACTATTTTTGCCAAATCCTTTTGTCTGTCTGCACAGAGGTAATGGCTATTGGTAATGTTGACAACTCTGGTTTAAAAATGTTTTTTGAGTTTCTAAGTGTGTTAGTCACATCTGGGAAGTTAATCTGGATCAGTAAGGGTGCAGCTAGGGGACCTACCTTTCCGTTTCAATACAGGGGTCCTTAAAACTAATTTCCTTTTGTGTAAAAACTAATTTCCTTTTGTGTAAAAGGAAATTAGTTCTAGTTCTAGAAGCAGTAATAATTCTTCACTGTTATGAAATGTAGCTCACGTCTCTTTTTGGCTTGGTTTTTTTTTGTTTTGGTTTTTGTGTGTGTGTGTTATATTATCAGAAAAGAATACAAAGGTAGTTGAAATTAATTCCAGCAGCATGTGAATTCTTGCAATAACTGACATTTCAACAACAGAAATGTAGTCATACTTGTTAAATAAATGTTTGTGCCTTTCAGATAAATAATATTGCTGCTCTTAAAAATGGAGGAAACTTGACTTTACTGCTTACACTGTAGGAACGGATATAACTGTCCACGAGTTTATCTTTCCTTTTAGGGCAACTGAAAGGATGAGCTACTCCTGATTAAGATAAGCAAACAAAAAAAACTTCAGGCCATTAGAGTTTCTACTTCCAATATCAAGTTGAATATCACTTGTTCATCTCTGGATGTTTATCATTGCTTCTAGAATAATGTTAATAGATTTCATCTGTGGACTTTCCTAGCAAGTATTGATCACTTTGGATTTTAATTTTTTGGATGGCTACCCGGAGTATAAACTCATATTCCCATAAAATGGGCTCTTTTGATTTGTTGGGTGAAAAGTAGCTCATATAACTCCTTGATTCTTAGGTATAACCTGACTGCTGTCTATCCGATTAAAACTATTAGTAGGGAATAAAGCATCTTACAATTCCCATGCGTAGGTCTTAATGCAGACTGGACAGAAATTCATGTTGCCATTTGTACTAATGACAGGAGAATAAAACATTCCTGTCTTCCTGCGAATTCAGGAATTCTGTAATCTCCACATACTTATGGTTCACGTTTGCTCTCTGTTTAGTTGGCACTCTACACTTGCATCTTCTGTCTGGGTGTGCAACTTTTGATTGAAGCAAAGGTGCTATTTTTCATTCTGTGAATCATCTTTTCAAAATTTGAACCCTTTTAGTTGGGTGAAATCAGATTTGCCTAGTCTTCATCTGCCTGTCAAAACCAGAATCCTTCTAAAAGTAGAGGAAGTGAGGTCAGGACTGATCTGTGACACTTAGGACAGGATTTTTTTTTTACACAAGGAACAGTTTGCCAGGAGTGTCCTTTGCATCTTTGTCTGTAAACTTGTTTTTTGAGACTTTTGGAATAGCTGATGATCTCATTCCTCTTGTCCGTAGTCTGTTGGTCTCGCATACTTAAATCAAAGCATGTTTTGCAACACATCTTGGTCTCCTGGGCTGTTAGAGCAAATGTGGTCTAGACTCAAGATAATTAAATTCTATAGTCAGTACAAGTTTTTGTTATATCAAGATATTAATTATAACAGGATTTAGCTATTTGCTGCAGAATTATGAAGGAAAATACAATTTTTAAAAAACGAATAATGATCAACATTTAAAAGTAATTGGAAGTTCTTCAGGGGAAGACAAAAAATAAAGTGTACTAAAAACTTGTTACATGCAGACTGAACAAAATCCTGTTAGTACTATTAAAAATGGAAGCTTACTACTAGGGTGCTTAGGCTCGTGCCAAGGTGTAATCAAACTTAACAAAGCCAGACGACTCACTTTTGAAGTAAATGAGATCAAGAGGACTTTTCTTTCTTGATCTGCTGTACAGAGGACCTGTTATATAGATTGGCAGGAAGAAGTTTTGATAAACATGGTTGTAACAAATAACAACCAATATGGTAGCTTGAATCAGTTATCTTAAGACCTTGTAGTGTCGCTGGTGCAGGGGGCTCTTAAAAATAGGTTAAACAGGCATCTGACCAAAAATTACATAGGTGGAGTTGTTCTTGCCTTGACATTCAAGGCAATCTGACTGAATAAAAGTAGGGCTTAGCCCAAGGACTGAGGGAACTGTGAGGGACTTTATCATTAATGAATTGTTTGAAACTGGAGGGTAGCAGTGGGCTTCTTTATCCAAACAGCATTAAGCAGATACTTGATAGAAATTCGCAAGGCTGTTGTATTTTCTCCTGAGAAACTGGTTGAAGATGCCTTTATTTTTAAATGGTTAGATGGTGGAGTTTAAAACACTAGTTATAGCCTTAAAACAAAACTGGCTTATAAAAACTGTTCTAATTTTTCTGAGAACTGTATTTTGCCTTGTTTGTTCCCATTATTTTTTTTTGTATCTCTTTAACCTTAACAGAAAGATGATAATACTCTCTTCATTTCAGATTAATACTTAGCAGTAGAGTGAATGAACAATAAACCAGGGGAAACTCCGAATACTGCATAGATTTAACTATCATGGAAAGGATTAGTGTTAAGGCTTACAAAAGTCAGCATTGGTAATTCATAAATGCGTCTGTCAAAGTTGTTTTTTTTCTTTTGGTATTTAGTTTTTCTTACAAAGAAAGAAACATTCATTTTCAGTGATGGCTTTTCTTATGTTTGTGACTTACCATGTGACTTGTGACGAACAGTGAAAGATGCAGGTATTTCTGCTGGTTTCAGTCTGTCATGTGTTCTCTTTTTTTTTTTTTTTTCTTTCTCCCCTCTTTTGATAAAGGCAGACCTATAATTAAGCATCTGTTTGTATTTGTAATCATTATCTGTGGTCATGATGAAGCTTTGTGGATCTCACAGCAGTGCGATAAAGACCATCAAAAATTGCTTTAAAACTTTCTGAAAAAATCCCCATGTGAATAGGGGTAAATAACAAAAAGAAAATAATACAGAAGTGAAATGTTTACTTTTTATTTAGCCTTTCTGTTGGATAGTTATTAACACTGCATTGTCTGTCTGCATTTTCTATCATGGCAATTTAAGGAAAGCCTGACTAGTGTGTTGTATGTTATGTAGGGTGTTTTCTTCCAACCTTTTTTCCTTGGTACATAATGATTTTCCTCTAGAGCTCATCTTCCCAAATCTACTTTCCTTTCCCAGTTGTTCTTTATATTAGAATTCTTTAGCCCTCTTTTACTGCTACTCTGCTAGAAGTCCTTGCTGGAGGAGCTGACTAAGGGTGTCCATGGGCTTGTAATAGTATCTGCAGCTCTTCCTACCCAGGTTAGAAGGACAGTCTTTCCTCTTAGCAGATGTGCTGGCCTTACTACGTCTCAGTCAGCCCAGCCCGCTCCTTAAAAAGTCTGAACAGGAAGCTTATCAATTGATAGGTGTTACAGCTTTCACTGGTTCAGATCCTCAAAAATCTCACCAGGGTCCTTCAGTAAAGAAAAGGAAGGACAGACTGAATGCCTCCAAAATGAATAGAAAGCATCCTTTTTTTTTTTCCCTTTTCTTTTCTTTTGGAAAGAGGAAAACAATAATATGTGTTAGGAGGGAAAGCAGAGATGTTGGGATATGTTCTAACATTAAGTAAGAGTAAAGGACAGAAGGTAAACTTGCTTAACTGGTTGTCTGCCAATGTTTAAGAAACACTGCTTCTCTTGGGGAGAGCAGGAGAGGAATCATTAGCTTTTGATATTACTTGAATAACATCATTGGTGATGTCCTTTGACTGACTAATATATTTGAACAAAGAAAAGAACCCGAGGACCTGATATAAAAAAAACACCTAGAGTCTTAAACTGTAGGAAAGAAAACTGAGCTGGTTTAGTTAACATCTTAAATATGAGAAAGAAACCAGTTTCCTTCTTAGACCTCATCTGAGCTAGTGCAAGGACACCAAATGTTAACCAGTGATCTCTTCAGTGACATGAAGTGTAGTGTATCCAGTCTCCTGCCACAGTACACTTTTACATTTTAAAGTGTAATTAAGAGTATGCTTTGGAGTATGCTTTTTTAAAAACTCTTGATTTCCCTGTATTTCAGCATAAGGAGCTTGCTCAGTATTTCTCCTCTTTTTCTGTTTTTTGTTTGGTGATGAGGATTAATTGAGAGATGGTTTTCATTGGTAGAAGGACATCTTGTGACTGACTTTATTCTGTGTGGTTAAGTCTGAAGACTTCCCGTGCCCAAGAGAAGGACGCCCTGAGGAAGTTAGATCGTCTGAATGACTATGAGCAGCAGATTCAAATACTGCGGGATGAGATTTCTATCCTGGATGCCCAAAAGTCTGTTCTCCAGAGCAGGTAGAGGCGTTATTCAGAGAAGTCAATGAATCAGGGAAGTTGTTCATGTTAGGTAGCATGAATTCCCTCCTCATTTTAAATTGAAGGATAAACAAAAGCTAAGCTTTTGTACTTTGCTGTGAAGGAACATAAACTCTTTAACTGACTTCTCCTAGTGCCCAAATGTTTTAATTTCAGGCAGCTATATTAAGTTTCTGGCAAAACAGCAGAGAGAGCAGCTTTACAAAATACATTGAGAGCAACTGTATGGGATAAAAAGAGATGGTTAGGTTTTCTTTGTTTATAAGTCCTCTTTGAATACTGTACCATTACAGGGCAGAACTTGTTGTTATATTCTCACTTATTTGACTTTACAACTCTTCAGTGGTACTGAAAGAGGAACAAATCTCCAGAGTATTACTAGTTAAATGTGTGTCTCCCCAGAACAAAGTGCTTGGCTGTACACACTTTAGGAATTACTTGATTTTATTGTTCAGGCTCTAGCCCATAAAATGTATTGACACAAATGCCTTCATATTAGACTAACCAGCTGCAGCTTTACTTCTTTAATTATGTTGGCTCAAAATCTCAGCTTACCCTGGTAATAACTAAATTGACAAAAAACTCTGTGCACTAGGCAAAAGCATCCGAGGATGGTGAAGTGACCTCATGCTTCTTTACATGTCTGTCACAGGCTTGCACGGAGCCGCTCTCCTTCCCCAAGGCACAGTGAGAGCAAGTCACCTAGTCCACTTCCCCTGAGGAGCTGCTCACCTGGCCGAGCCAGACGTACAAATGCTTCGCGTCGTGCCTGCCTGGTAGCTCGCTTTGGTGACATTTATGCTCAAGAACGCTTGGATGCAGAGACCCTTTTGAGGACATACATCAGTGACATGGAGATGGTGCAGAGGATAATATACATTGCAGCTGTGGTAACAAAAAAAATTATATTTCTTGTTTTACAGGCCAGAAGTGTTTTATAAAATATTATGGCTGGATTGGATTAAATTGTGTGTAAATTAGCATTTCTGTGAAGTACGGAGAAGAAAACTTCTCTTTTTTCCCTTTTGATTTTCCTTTCTTTCCCTCACACTTTTACATTGAACTCTCAATTTAATGTCCTTTTCTGACTGTCCTGTCCCAACATTAGAACAGGGTCAGTGATCTACAGTACAGGTGCTAAAAGGGGCGCATAAGAAGACTGAATGGCTCTGAAAGGTAGATGATTCCTGCACTAAAAAAACATTACCTCATTTAGATTAATTCTTTTGGGAATACTACATTTTAGAAAGCTAAAAATCTTTCCATATCATGCTTCCTGACAGTCCTGAAGGGCAAAGGGGTCCAGGAAGGCTGGACGATCTTCAAGAAGGAAGTCTTAAAGGCAGGAGCAGGCTGTCCCTGTACACCATAAGAAGAACGGGCGGGGAAGACGACCGGCCTGGCTGAACGGGGAGCTTTTGCTGGGACTCAGGAAAAAAAGGAGAGTTTACCGCTTGTGGAAGAAGGGGCAGGCAACTCAAGAAGAGTACAGGGATCTCGTTAGGTCGTGCAGAGAGGAAATGAGAAAGGCAAAAGCCCAGCTAGAACGCAACCTGGCCGCTGTCGTTAAAGACAACAAAAAAAGTTTTTACAAATACATTAATGACAAGAAGAGAGCCAGGGAGAATCTCCATCCTTTATTGGATGCGGGGGGGAACATTGTCACCGAGGATGAGGAAAAGGCTGAGGTACTTAATGCCTTCTTTGCCTCAGTCTTTAGCAATCAGACTAGTTACCCTCAGGGTACTCGGCGCCCTGAGCTGGAAAACAGGGATGGCGAGCAGGATGAACCCCCCATAATCCAAGAGGAAGCGGTCAACGACCTGCTACGTCATCTGGATACTCACAAGTCTATGGGGCCGGATGGGATCCACCCGAGAGTGCTGAGAGAGCTGGCGGAGGAGCTCGCCAAGTGGCTCTCCATCATCTATCAGCAGTCCTGGTTAACGGGGGAGGTCCCGGACGACTGGAGGCTGGCCAATGTGACGCCCATCTACAAGAAGGGCCGGAAGGAGGATCCGGGGAACTACAGGCCTGTTAGCCTGACCTCAGTGCCGGGGAAGATCATGGAGCGGATCATCTTGAGGGCGCTCACAAGGCAGGTGCGGGACAACCAGGGCATCAGGCCCAGCCAGCACGGGTTTATGGAAGGCAGGTCCTGCTTGACCAACCTGATCTCCTTCTATGACCAGGTGACCCGCCTAGTGGACAAGGGAAAGGCTGTGGATGTGGTCTACCTGGACTTCAGTAAGGCCTTTGACACCGTCTCCCACAGCATTCTCCTAGAGAAGCTGGCGGCTCACGGCTTAGACAGGTGTACTCTGCGCTGGGTCAAAAACTGGCTGGACGGCCGGGCCCAGAGAGTTGTGGTAAATGGAGTTCAATCCAGTTGGCGGCCGGTCACGAGCGGTGTTCCCCAGGGCTCAGTATTGGGGCCAGTTCTGTTTAATATCTTTATCAATGATCTGGATGAGGGGATCGAGTGCACCCTCAGTAAGTTTGCAGACGACACCAAGTTGGGCGGCAGTGTTGATCTGCTCGAGGGTAGGAAGGCTCTGCAGAGGGACCTGGACAGGCTGGATCGATGGGCCCAGGCCAACTGTATGAGATTCAACAAGGCCAAGTGCCGGGTCCTGCACTTTGGCCACAACAACCCCATGCAGCGCTACAGGCTTGGGGAAGAGTGGCTGGAAA